CTCTCTGTCTCTCTCTCTTTATCTTCTCTTCTCTCTCTCCTCTCTCTCTCTCTCTCTCTCTTCTCTCTCTCTCTCTTCTCTCTCTCTCTCTCTCTCTTCCTAGCTATGAGTTTGGAACTGGAAGGCTATGGGTGAAATGCCAGTTGTGGCCCTGACTTACTTCTGTATGATTGTGGTCATCATTCCCCATCCCCATTGCCACCCTAGGCTATGGTCTCTGTGGCCACAGCATCCTCCGTGATCTCCTGGGTCCCTTCTTACTCGCACGTTCCACAAGCCTTACTCTTGTGGCTAATGACATCACCCAAACCTTCTAATAGAATTATAGCTAGTGGTTCAGCTGCCTTTTATTTATCCTTTTACTAATATCACTGAGACCTTGCTCCAGATCTCCTTATGAAAAATGACCCTTTTAATGGTGGATAGTTTAATGAGAACCAGGATCATCTTCTTCATAAGTGCCCTTCATACGAATTAGCTGTGCCCTGGGTCCCAGTCTAAATTGGACACCCCACTTTCATCCAGATGGCCTAATATTTTTCTATTAATCTATGCCCTTGGTCCACGCCCTGTGATTGACCCTTCTCTCTAGCTTGGGCTGGCCAGCGGCCCTTAGGATCCCTGGAGAGGCAGGTGTTGTATAGGCCTATGTTTAAATGCTTTCTGCTTAGGGAGCCTGGATTTATGTATGTTGCATAGGAGCTGGAAGATGTTTACCCAATTTCCAGGCTTTCTGAGACATAAATTGTGCACCAGAAACTGCTTTTAATGCTATGAATTCGTCGAGGTTCAGCGGAGCTGATCTGAGGCTTGAACGCTTTCAATATGCATGTATGTGCAAGGTGGGAGGCTAGGGATGGGAAGGAAATTCAGACAGAGGGGGTGTCCTTTTTTTTAAACTCATGGCAGTGAAAGGCATATTATGGGTAAACAGAGCATGCTGGTATATTGAAGATGTAGGGCTGAGAGCTGTCAGGGGGGATGAGCAGAGCTAGGTTTTTATTGGTGGAAGAAAATGCTGACTAAGTCATTTTTGTCTTCGGCCCCCTTTGGAGAGAGGGTTGGGGGATGGAGCTTCTGACACCATTGTGCCTGCTTCCTTCGGCAGATGCTGTTTATAGGACCCTGGCATGTCAAATGGACCTCCCTTAGCTTTTAGCTATAGGTACTAACATCTGCCTCTGCCTTTCCCTGAGGCTTAATTTTAACATTAGTTACAGTTTCTGACTCATCAGCCATGTGCCATGCATCTCTCATAAGATATTATTTAACGAGCATAAATGGTCTAGCCACTGCTTAATCCCAGCAGGGTATGGAGCACTAGAGGAGGCGGCCCAGAGGCCTGGAATCTGCCAGCTCTACCCTCTAACACCCCGGCCATGCACTAGCTTGGTCACTGTGGCCAGTCTGCTGGCCCATTGGCAAAATGATGCCAGGTTTTGCTTTACCTGCCTGTAGGCAGGCAGGGAGCTACTAAATGCAATTCAATTCAATTCAACAAGCCTTTATCAGTAACTATGATATTTATCCATAACACTAACAGTGACCAGCATTTAGACTGTATTTTAAGATTTCCAAAAGTGCTTTCCCTACCTGCATCTCATTTAATTCTCACAGCAAGCCTAGAAGGTGGTGCTATTATTATTCACATTTTATAGCTTGGGAAACTGAGACTCTGGGAGGTTAAGTTACTTGACCAGGGTCACCCAGCTGGTAAGTGTTTGAGGCCAGATTTTTGCTGGCTCCCAAGTCCAGCCTCCTACCCCTGTATGCTAAGAGCCAGGCACTGCAGGCATTTGTACGCATAAGTGTAACCCCAGTTCTATCCTTCCACCAAGCTAGCCAATAATGGATAGAATAAAGAGTTATGGGAGTAAATGATAAGGAAATACAAAGTAATCCACGATCATGTTAAGATCGCTGGCAGGGGCAGGCCGACCCTCCTATAATAGGGGAGATTTGAGCTTGGGATTACCAGGTGACCCTCAGAGGAAGCCACCTGTTCCATGATCTGTGATTCTGTGATCTTGCCTGGGGGCAGGAAGGAAAATAGCTCAAGGGGAAAGAGAAAATCCTGAAAGGAAAAGAATTCCATCATAGTTCACTTTACATCTGCATACCCCTATTAATGTCTGCAAAGCAGTATCATATGTGTTGTCTCATTTGATCCTCACCATGTCCCCATGGGGAAGGTACATTTGTCCATGAAGTCAGTGGAAATGCCCCTGGGTTTTGGTGAGGACCTTGTATTTCCAGCGCATGACCCTCTGGAGGCTCGCAATCAATGCTTGTGGAATGTGGCTTTGCAGTCAGAAGACTTGGGCTTTGCCACTGCAAGTCGGGTTACCTTGGGCAAGTCCTTTCCAACTCGCTGTAACATCTGCAAAACTGAAACAGCTGTTTGTACATAGTTGTTTGCTTGTTGTCTCCTCCATTTTTGATTGTAAGTTTTTTTAAGTTTCATTTCTTCATCCCCATGGGGTTTATCACAGTTCCCGGTACATGGAAGGTACTTATTATGTGTTTATTGATTTTCTCCAAGGACCCTTCCAATTCTAAATCCTCTGATTCCTGTGAGGATAAATGGCTTGTTGAAGGTCATACCCAGGTCTGGAAAAAAGATCTTTATTCCAGTGTCTTGTTTACTATTATTCTCTGGAGAGTTGGGGGTAGCGGGATGGGAAGAGATGCATTTTAGAAAGCAATGTTGGACTTGGAAGATGGAATAAGTCAATTCACTTGTCTTGACCTCAGTTTTCTCATCTGTAAAATGAGAAGATTGGGCCTGATATCCCAAAGAGGTAAGTAACTTGCTCAAGATCATGCAGATAGTAGATGACTGAGGCAGGGTTTGAACCTGTCACCTGACTTCAAGTCTACTGTTCCTCCATAGTACCACCCTGCCTTCTATACAACCTAAACCTTTTGTTTTTATGATGAGGAAACACAAGCCCAGAGAGGGTTAGTGATTTCCTCAGAGTCACACAGGTCATATGTGGCCATCAGGATTTGAAGCCAGGTCCTTTAACTCTCTGCTGTTTGTTATATTACATTCTTTCCCAGGTTCAGGTACAAGGACATTTAACCATGTGTTTACTCATGATTTTGGCATCAGGGGCCCTAAGATATTCTTAAAGATGGATCAATATCATTCACTTTACATATTGATATTTTTTCCTTGAATTATAAACAATCAATGTGCCTGCCTGCTTCAGAAGGGGCAAAGTATCATTATTTAATGACCACAGAGCATCAGATGCTTACAGAGGACTTATGATGAAGTAGCTTCTCTCTGTACTCAAAGGAATTAGTAATGTTCATTCATTCATCAAAAATAAAGTGAACACCTTCTATATGCCAGGTTCTGTACAAGAGATAGAAATGCAAAATATGGTGTGGGAAGTATAGCAACCTAACTGGAGTCAGAAGCACCTGGGTTTAAGTCCTGCTTCTGACCCATGCTGACTGTGCAACTCTAAGCAAGCTCAAGACCTCCATCTGTAATGTGAGCAGTGTGGACTGAGCAGGCTCCATGGACTTTTCCAACTCTGAACCTGCATTCATAGGAGCCTATCACATGTGCTCAAGAAAGGAAGTGGAAAAAGGAAAGAAGGGCAAGACTTGAGTAGTCAAGGCCTCCTTCTTGAAGCAACCCGGCAAGCCCATGGAGCTCAGTTATGAGCTTCTGGGGAAAAGAAAACTCCACTGAAGGAGGGAAGGGAGGGAAGGAGGAAGGGAGGGAAAGAGAGAAAAGAGGAAGGAAAGAGGGAGGGAAGCAAAAAAAGAAGGAGGAAGAGAGGGAGGGAGGGAAGGTATATTACAAAGTGTATTCCAAACAACAACCCTGTAATACAGGTAATGCAATTTTATTATTATTATTATTACTGTTATTATAATTATCTCCATTTTACAGAAGAAGAAACTGTGGGACCAGAGAGGTGAGGTTACTTACCCAGGTTCACACAGCTAGTAAGTGTCAGAAGCAGGATTCAAACCCGGGTATCCTAGTTCCAACACCTCTGTTCTTTCCTCTGTCCCACAACAACCTATCACATTGGATAGCATGTTATACTTGGTGTTAAGAAAGCCTAAATCCTTATTGTGACCCTAATAGTGTGACCCTGGGCAACTTACTTTACTCTGAGCCTCAATTTCCTTATCTGTTAAATGGGGACACTGATACCTAGTACTTCACAGGGGTAAAATGAAGCTCAAATGAGATGTCGTAGGTAGAGTGATTAGAAAGATGTAAAAGGGGAATATTAGAGGCAGGTATTGTTGCAGAATGGGGTCTATAATGAGTCTAAAAGTCAGAATGAAGGAGAGCATTTTGTAGGAGCGTAAGTCTAGATCTGGAAGGCACTTCAGAGGCCTTGTAATATAATCCCTTCATTTTATAAAAAAATAAGAGAGAGAGAGAGAGAGAGAGAGAGAGAGAGAGAGAGAGAGAGAGAGAGAGAGAGAGAGAAAGAGAGAGAGAGAGAGAGAAAGAGAGAGAGAGAGAAAAGAAACTGAGTCCAAGAGAGATTTGTTGACATATCATTTCATAGACCTAGAACTGGAGGGTACCTCAGCTCCTCCATCTTATCCACCCCTTCATTTAACAAATAAGGAAACTGAGGTGCCAAGAAGTAAGTGACTTGCCTAGGGTCTCTCATAACGTCACAAATCAAGAGCCACAAAAAATCTCAGAGTTTCCATCTATAGATGAAAAAACAATTATTTATAGATTTATTATTTATAGATGAAAACAACTGAGACCCATTGAATGACTTGGCCAAAGGCAGAGAGTAAGTTGCCCAACCAGCACTGAGACCCAAGCACCAGAAGACTTTTATCCTTATGAACTTTTTTCCACTAGTGACTAAGTGAAGCCAACATCTCTTGAATGGACCATAAGCCGAGCCCAAGGATGGGTTTGTCCCCAGCCTCTCTTAAGTTGCCTCCCAACCCTATTCACTGTCTCAGTATCTAAACGCCATTTTCTTCTTTCTCCCCAGGTCAGGATCGCAGCGAAGCCACTTTGATAAAGAGGTTCAAGGGTGAAGGCGTCCGGTACAAGGCCAAGTTGATCGGCATTGATGAAGTTTCTGCTGCACGGGGAGACAAGTTATGTCAAGACTCCATGATGAAACTCAAGGTTCGTAGAACCAGATGGGGTACTTGTTTCTACCAACAGGGAATGGGAAGAGACGGAATTGTTTTTGATGATGCCAGTCATTTCTGAGCATAAGAATACAAATAGCTTATGTTCATATCAACTTTCTAATGTAACTCATGGCTTTAGGGAAATTGGCACAGTGGAGAACTGTGAATTTCAAGCCACAGGACCTGAGTTCTAATCCTGGCTCTACTTCATTCTTCCAGGTCACACAACCATTTGAAGCCTCAGCTTCCTCTTTTGTACAGATAAGTCTCTAGTACAGTAGTATGAATACTTAATCCTGAGAAGTGAGTGGTCACATTCAATACAAACTGTATGTTTCCATTAGACTGGAACCGATGACCATATTTTACAAAATCATAACTTTGAATAGTACAAATCCAAATGCATATGACCACTTCAAGGGATTTATTATTGGCACAAATTAGGATGGGATGAGATTAAATGGGCCCTAAAATCCCATCCAGCTCCAAATCTGCGCACCTAATATGGATAATGTAAATATGCCATAGGGTTAGATAAGGAAACAAGACAAACTAGCCTTCAGTCCTGTATGGATCCTTTCACTACCATATGGGCTGTGGTAAAATGAGGTCAGAAAGGAATGGTTGTTACTAATGGAGAAAGAGGGAAAAAGAAAGAATCAGGGTTCATGGCAGAGGCGGCATCATTTGAATTGGACATTGAAGTCTGAGTAGGAAGGTGGCCAGTGAAGAGGGAGAAGAATGTTATTCCACATATAAGTAACAGCATGAGGTTAGAAAATTCCAGGGCTTCCAACACATGAAAGGAGGCCTGAGCATGGATGGAGTGGAAAGAAGTAATAGGTGACAAGGCTGTTGAGGCATCTATTCCATGATTGGGCTGACTTCAGTCAGGGGGCTGGGAACTTTGGATATCTGTATTTCCATATAATTGGTTTCCTGTATTTTATTATATGAACTTAAAAAAAACTTTATTCTGAGGGGTCCCTAGCCTTCCCACTTGGCCAAAGACTTCACTCTCCTAAAAACAGAACCTTTGAACTAGACGATATCTAAGGTTCTTTCTAACTCCAAAATTCTATATTCTAAAATCCCTTCAGCTCTGACATCCTTTGTCTCTTCCAGCTCGATCATTGTGTGTTTTAAGATATTTCTCACCTCTGACTTTCTATATTCTAAATCCCCTTCCAGCTCTGACATTCCCTGTTGTAAGACCCTTCACAACCCTGACATTCTTTGTCCTAAGGCCCCTCCCAACTAGGAAATTCCCTGTTCTAAGGCCCCTTCCAGCTTTGACGTTCTGTGTTCTAAAGCCCTTCCTAGTTCTCACATTTTCTGTTCTAAGGCCCCTTCCAGCTCTATCATTCCTTGATTCTAGTATCTGTGCCACATAGAACTGGTCTTTTTCTGAAGCATTGTTATATATAGCAAATCAGTGCAAACTCCTTATATTCCAGCAATGAGAAATAATCACTTCATGCTCACCAGAATCCTGGAAGGTAAAAGCCAAAGCTGCTTAACTTGGGCTTTAAAAGAAAAAGAAAAAAAGAAAAATCCATCTGATGATGCTAATGATGATGGCATTGTGACATGAGACTCATAACTCTTTACTCAGTGATTTTGACCTTAATTTACATTCCATCAGCACTTAAGACAGCTCAGCCCTTCTGGGCTAGATTAACAGACAAATGCTCATTATTCTTTTGTTTCAGGCAGAGATGGCCTGTCTCCCACAACAGCTTTTTAATCTATTCCAGAGAAGGGTTCATAGTGCCTTCTTCTTTGCATGTCTAGAGTGCTCAATATACCTTGGTCAACACAAAGGAACCATTCAATAAATGCTCTCTCAATGACTTAATTAGTGGATGAATGAATGAATGAGTAAATTGCTCACTATCCCACAAAGGCTATGAGAGCTTTTCTTGAGTCTTAGCTCCTACTCTCCACCTGTTGGGATTCTACCCATTCTTCATAGGCCAAGATGCTTCAGGAAGCCCACCTTCTCCCAGACTCCTCTCTGCTCCTTCCCAGCTAGAAGTGATCTGTCCCTCCTATGAGTTTACTCATTACAGCACCATTTTTCAGACTTCTCTTACTCTGTTCTGTTTTCCACACTAACATGACCAAGTTTCATCTCTCCTAATAGACTCTGAGTATTATGGAATGAGAGACTTTGTCTGCTTTTCTCTTTGTAGTTCCCCATATTCTAATACATTTCCTTAGCTTAGCAGACCCCTTAGTAAATCATGGAATATTAGAATTGAACAGGACCCCCAAGATCATTTAATCCTAACCCCTTCATTTGACAGATAGGGCAACTGAGACTTAGAGAAATGAATTACCTATTCAAGGTCAGCCCATGAGTTAATGGCAGGGTCAGGACTAGAAGCTAACTCTCCTATTTCCTACCTCAGTATGCCTTTTGGAAACACCATGATGTTTTCTCAATGAAAAAATAAATGAATGAACAAATGAATGGATGAATCAGTAAATAAATGAGTTAAAATAATAGTTACTGACATTTATATAGCATCTTAAGCTATTCGAACCATTTTTTATATACTGTTTCATTTGATGGGAAAAACAGGAAGAATGAAAGAATAAATTCTGGAGGAATTAGCCAACATGTGTGATCTGTCGTCAGAGGTTAATAGAATCCTAGATCTCAAATAAGAAGGGAATTTAGTGGTTATGTAGCCCAACTATCTCATTTTACAATAGGGGAAACTGAGACCAAGAAAGGTTGAGTGATTTGCTCAAGGGCACACACTTAGGATGTTGTAGAGCCAGGGTTTAAAACCCAGTCTTCTCATTCCCTATCCAGCTGTGTTTCCATCAGACTAAGCTGTCAACCTTTTAGAATTTGGAAAATGGGCCATGAGAGAATAAAAGGGCCAACGAGACTGGTACTGAAGTCAAAGATTGTTGTCCATGGGTTGATGGTATCTGACCTACCTTAGGGGGCCCCTATGCAGCAAAGCTACCAGGGAAGAGCTGCAAAAATGCTGAACTCAAACCCTGTCCTTTCTCTCCACAGGGAGTTGTCGCTGGAGCCCGTTCCAAAGGAGAACACAAACAGAAAATCTTTTTAACCATCTCCTTTGGAGGAATCAAAATCTTTGATGAAAAGACAGGAGTAAGTAAAAGAATGATATGACGGAACGGGATTGAATTTATTGACAGATGTGTCCTTAAAAGGTTTCTCTCGCTGCTCAGCGATCTCCAATCCACATAAACACACATAAGGCAGCTGACAAACTTGATAAGCGGGGCTCGTCCATCACAGAAAGCCTTTTTGCTGAGTGGGTTGGGAGGCAATTGCACACCATTGGGGTACCTTGGGTTGTGCTAAAAATGCCATAGGATCCCTGTCATCAAATGGGAGATTGATAGAGTTAGATGAGCTGGGGGTAGTTCCACTGTTTATAGCAAATTTCTATCCGTATTTGCCATATTAACCATGGATACTCAGAGAGGCCTTTTGCTTCAACGTCAATGAATTCTGACACCCTGGTTTAACCTCCAGCACCTTGAAATTGGTGTAATTTCAGCAAGGGAATTGGGCTTTTAATCTTTAAAACCCCCAAATCCATCACTCTGCGACCAGGAAAGGAGAGAGTGAATGTGTTCTTTGGACCTGCCAAGCTGGGGTGAGGGATATTTCTGGGTTTGCCAATTTCAAAGTGGCTTTTCATGCTCAGATTCACCCATGGTTTTTGACTCAGTGGCTCCTAGAATCACAAATTTGGAGCTGGAGGGGACTTTAAGAGCTATTTAGTACAAGCCACTCATTTTTACAGATGAGGAAACTAAGGCACATAGGCATTAAAATGTTGTGCCCAAGGTCACAGAAGATAGTAAGTGGCAAAGCCAGCATTTGAACCCAGTTCTCTGGCCCCACATCCTGTGACCAAATAAGGGTTTGTCCAAGGAAGACAGGTAAGTCAAGATGAAATTTTCAGAGATTTTTTGTAGGTAGGTTTTGGTTTTGTTTTTGTTTTTTGTAAAGAAGCAACAGCAACAGAAGCTGCTCTCTCTTGCTCTCTTGCAAGAAAGAGAGGGCAGTGGGAAGGTAGGGCATCTGGAGGCTTGAGAGGGTCAAAACGGCAATGCACAAGATCTGGCCTATCCAGCTCACCTGCTATACAGTGAGATCCAAGGACCCCTTGGTTATATTTCTATGTAAAAGAAAATCCAATTGTAATTATCAGCAAGCCAAATTTCCTAGATCTTTGAAGGTGGGAAATATGTCTAGGGTGGGGACTGGAGTCACATTTTTGGTTGAGGCTTTTTTTTTTCCCGGAGATACCTTTGGATTGTGGAAGGAGATCTGCCTTACCCCAGCCTTTATTTGTTCCCACAGTGGCAGGAGGATTTGTTGCTGTTCCCTACCCTCCCAATGAAAACAATGAAAAAAAGAAACATTAGCAGACCAGAGTTCTCCCTAGAATCTAAAACCAAAAAGCTGTCAGAGATATTGATCCCAATTAAAGAGACTGGTTACAGCAGTTTACACCCTGTCTCAAATTTCAAAGGGCCTTTGATCCCAATCCTTGTATGATTAACTTTCTTTTTTTGAATTGGTAACACGGGGTGGAAATGCGTCTTAACTGAGGGCCATTCATATTATCGGATGTCTAGTTATCATTGATATCAAAGGGATTAAAACGGCCGTTAGAATTCTGCCACACTCCAGAAAAGCTTCCCAGTCCACGCATGTATGCATCCACACCTGTCTAAAGCACTCTTAACAACATTGTGATTGGCTTTCTGCTTATCTGTGCACATGGCTTATCTCCCCCTACTTGACTGTGGAAGTTCCTTAAGGGAAGGGACTTGAATTACCTCTCTGATGACCCTCTCAGCACCTGCCACAAATTTCAGAGACTGCAGAACCTCAGGGCAGAATGGCATTGTGGATAGAAAGCCAGTCCTGGAATCAAGGTGGCCTGAGTTGAAGCCTAACCTCGAGTTTCAGCTGGTTGTGCGATCCCTAGCAGATCACTTAACTCCCCAGGACCCTGGGCAACTCTAATAGTTTAAGTGGCATGCTTAATAACATTGGTAGAGGGAGGTTACTCACTGAGAGTTCCTTATGCCAATAAAATAACAGGTCTAGATACCTCATCCCAACAAACCTTATTGGTGTCTCTATTCCCTTCCTTCCTGCTGATCAAAATCCACTGACATGTTTTCATACCTTCCCATAATTGTCATTAAATGACCCATTCGATTCTCTGAAGACTTTCCACTGTATCTTGTAATGTATTATAGATCCTTGTGCTGGGCACATTGCAAATGATGAATGAATGAATGAATACATATGTACAATTGACTTGGTATCAAGTCCCCATTGCTATCCTGATTGCACACCTCTGGGTGCATTAGTATTTGTACCTCAATAAGCCCATGGTCGTGGGACCTAATTAATGAGTATACTCACTACGGTGTAGCGTTATCTGGTCACAAGATTGTAGATTCATTGATACTGTGGAGACCATCCAGATGATGGCAGAAAGAATAGTGAAGGGCCTTGAGGGATGAATAAATGTTCAAGGAACTGGGGATGTTTAATCTGAAGAAAAGAAGACTTTGGGAGAAGAGAGCTTTCATTTATTGAAGTACTTGAAAACTGTCACTTAGAGAAAGGATTCTTCTTCTGACTGATTACAGTGGGTAGATTTAGGAGCAATGGGTAGAAGGGGCCCAAAGACAAAGAAAGAACTTCCATTCTAGAGAGGAAGGGGCCACCATGGGAGGTGGTGGCTTCCTACTCCACCACCAATGACCATTTCTGAGCTGTATTGCCAGGGGTAGGGTGTGGATATTATTGTCCATGACTGGGTTGAACCGATGACTCTTGAGGTGCCTTCCAAATCTGAGCACCTAAGATTCTAGGAGTTTGAATGAGGCAGTAATGGGATCACTATAATAGAGGCAGCACAGGGACATGGATGATCTCGGAGTCAGGACACAGCTCTTAGCTCTGATGTTTTCTAGTACCTAACACAGTGGGAGCTTAATAACCACTTGGTTAATTAGCATGCCGGTAAATTACTTACCCTGTCTGAGCCTCTATCTCAGAAGATGGGAAGGGTCCACGTGACCTCTGAGGTTGCTTCAGGCTCTCAATTCCTGGGAGCTAAGAAGGCTGGAGGGTGTTTTGTTTTGTTTTGTTTTGTTTTAGCATTGCCCCTCATTTGCATGAAATTTCCATATGTTGTGGTATCTACTGTCCACTGACAGTGCTTACTCAGACTCAGCAGCCGCCAGAGATTCATTTTAATATAAAAGAGACAAAACATTCAAGAGGAAAATAATTTAGGTGCCTGTATGTTTAGTGTCTTGTTGTATGATATTGGATTTTAATTTATCACAATAAAAAATCAATTTGCAGCTCAAAACCCACACATTTTTAAAAATTGGCCCTGTCAGGGACCTGATGCCAGAGAGATAATTTAGAAGATCAGTTTCATAATTCACTGTTAGAGAAAAAAGTGGGTTTGGATTACTGCTGAACCTCAGTGGGCCTGAGGGCCGAGATACTAAACTCAACGACTTGGTGATGGGCTGGAACATTTCCATAGGAGGGCACCCAGCAGTGGGATAGAGCTGGAAACTTGTTTATATGAAATACTGGTCAAGAAGATGGAGACAGCTGGCCAGAAGAAAAGGCTCCATGGTTAGGAAGGCAGCAATGGGCAGAGGAGAGGACACAGTGATCCCTGTCTTCAAGTATTGAAAGGGCTTTACTTGGATGAAGGACAGAAGTAGGAGCCACAAATGCAACCTGCAGAGAGGCAGATTGTGATTTGAAGTGAGAGCCAACTTTCCCATCATTAGAGCCGTCCCTAAAGGGCAGTGGGCTGTCTTGAAAGGTAATGAGCTCCCTGGTGCTGGAGGTCTTCAAGCAAAGATTGGCTGGCCACCTGGCAAGAATGTTCCAGAGGGGATTCCTGTGCAAAAATGAGGTTGGCCCACATGTCATCAAGATCTTTTCCTGGTCTAATATTCTGTTTTGTTCCAACATAGTCTTCACCCAATCAATCAAAATGAACTGGAAGCTCATTACCACCCAAATCAGGGGACCAAGGTCCCAATCCAGGTCTTCCAGGCCAGCTCTATAGTAATAGATTGTATTGTGTAGCCCTTTAGCTTTCTGATGCCTCCTTCCTAACAAAATTCCTATAAGATAGTACTCAAGTAGGCAAGTATTGCTGCTTCCATTTTACAGATGAAGAAAATGAGGATCAGAGCAGTTAAGCCATTATCTCCAGAAACACAGCAAAAAATGAGAGAATTGGATTAAAACCTTGCTCTTCAACCCAGGGTTCATGGACTACAAAAGTCCGTGGATTGATTGAAAGAGGAAGAGCTCTCTGAACTTAGATGGGAAAAAAGTATTTTTCCCACTCTCATTTGGGGTTTTCTTGGCAAAGTTACTAGAGTAATTTGCCATTTCTTCCTCCAGCTCATTTTGCAAATGAGGAAACTGAGGCAAACAGGGTTAAGTAACCTGCCCAGGGTCACACAGCTAATAAGCGTCTCAGGCCAGACTTGAACTCACAAAGAAGAGTCTTCCTAACTTCAGGCTTGGCTCTCTATCCACTGAGCCTCCTAGTACCAGCCTCCAAATGTAGCCACCCCAGGCTGAGGACTGAGCCTATAGATTTATTGCAAGTGCTACAGTGGCTGAGACCAGATGGGCTTAGATTAGCACCTCCTCACTCCCACCAGCTCTTCTTATCCACAGAGACAGACCTTTGCCTTGACCATTAAAACCATTGCCTTAGACATCATTGCTTTAAAGAGATTATTTCAGTGTCTATCTAAATAGTCTAAGTGTTAAATAGACATAACAGTCTATGAAAATATCTGTTAACTAAATGTACATGGCTAAGATTAGAAGAGAAAGTGATCGTAGTTGGAAACAAATCCTCTAAGCTGGGGGACGTAGGGTCAGATTGCTCTCCTGCTGGATTGGCCCTGGGCGGGGGAAGAAGAAGAAGAAGAAGAAGAAGAAGAAGAAGAAGAAGAAGAAGAAGAAGAAGAAGAAGAAGAAGAAGAAGAAGAAGAAGAAGAAGAAGAAGAAGAAGAAGAAGAAGAAGAAGAAGAAGAAGAAGAAGACATAATAAT